ATATATATATATATATATATACATATACATATACATATACACACATACATTGTGAATGTATATACATACACACGGGAGAACGCTGGTTCGAGGTACGGTGATGTATCGGCGCCCGCGGCGAGACGAATGGTACAGACCCTCCTATGGCCACCATTACCCCACCGCATTGGCCAATATCGGATATCTATCTCTCTCTCACTCTCACTCTGCTTCTCCTTCGACTCGCTCTCTCGTGCGCTCTCGTCGTCTCAATCTCTCTCCTGATCCAGGACACCTAGATCCTGCTACGTCACGCGTCCTGCAATGGCTCGTAATTTCAAAGGATCGGCTTGAGCGAAGGAGAGCATTCCGCCGATGCACTGAAAACGACTGACGAGAACCGATGGGAAATTGATTCGTCGCGCCAGTTCTTCCGGGTAAAGGCGTGAAAGCACAGATCTTTTACCTCTAAAATTTTCGTGGTTCTCTTCTTCCTATATAAATAGCAGGAACGTGTATCGACACTTCGGTATGTGAACGGATATACACGTACACACCTTCGCTCGCTCTGTGCCGGTGACCTTTAGAAATTCAAAGGGGAGCTTTTCGCGCGCTCATGAATTTCTACGCCGAGCCGCTGAGGAAGATAGGTCACACGGACTGTCAGCCACCTATGCGGCGAGGGTTGAAATATTCGTATTCAAGTAGAATATATATTCAAACTCTCGGGCTTTTGGAGCCCGACTATTGTTACATAAAGTTAGACACGCGGGCAAGTTCGGTCTCTCTTGTAAATCACCGAAATATAACATCGGAATAGAAAAATTATTATGTGCTTATAACTTCGCGCGGCGCGCGCGAGTAATGATCTGACCGGGTAAAGTCAAGCCAAATACAATTTAGTTATTCAATTTAAACGCAGAATCCGCCCGCACGGCACGAAGATTACGAGATTAACGTCTGATAAAAGAGGGTCAAAAGTTAAAGAGCCACTTGTGGACTCGACGGTAGTATCTATTTAGTTGGCCCATAAGAGAGAAGTTCTCCCTTTATAAGGGGGTGCGTGCGCCCTAAACCGAAACTCTCTTTTTCTCACCTTCTCTCTCTCTCTCTCTCTCTCTCTCTCTCTCTCTCTCTCTCTCTCTCTCTTTCTCTTTCGTCATCTCTCTCTACGTCTCTCTTACGCTCAAGAGTGTAGCAGCGCGCCCTTCGTGCTTGGGAATTATCGCTTGACGACCCATCAAGTAAACCCTCTGCCGACACATTCGAACCTCTTAATGAAATTCTCACCCCTGACTGACTGCCTGGCTTGGCTCGGTGGCTGCCTGGCTGGCTGGCAGACGGTCGGGACGATCCGTGGAGTGCCCCGAGAGACGGCGGGACAGGGATATCGGAGAAAAGGAGACGGATACGGTTTACTTTCTCTCTTTCTAGCTCCCGCTTATCCATTCGCTCGCGCATCCTCCCCACTCATTGCCCCGAAGGGAAACTGAAATCTCTCGCGCCCCAAAGTGGTTGAAGGCTTCGCTCCCTTTTTTCACAGCATCCCTTACAGCTTAACTGTATAGGGGCGTAAGGGAAATATCCGCACTCTCCCACCGCTCGACGACCCTCCATGACGGTGGAATCCCGTTACGAAGACTCGCGTTCTACGTTTCACTTTTGCGTATCGAATATTATAAATCATTAATGTCTATATACGTTTTTCATATGTATCCACTTTCACGAATCATTTTCGATGAACGCCAAGCAATATTTCATGCATAATATCTTTTATATATTTTGACGCTTTACACATTTTTTCTCAATAAGTCTGTATATAATCTCCTCGATTGTTTCCAGAACCAATGAGGCACGTGAAAGCAGAACTTTTGCAGCACGAGAAGGACCTCGACGATGAAGACGAGTTAGATCTTGAGGACGACCGTCGACGGAGCGAGCATCCCTTTCATCACACGATGCAACATCATCATCATCATCACCAAGGTTATGGCGGTGAAGACCATTTGAAGGAAGAGGGAATCAAGTCGGACTGTAGTGCGGGTGGTGTACCGATCCCCGCGACGAAACCTAAAATCTGGTCCCTAGCGGACACGGCGGCGTGTAAAACGCCACCGCCACCGTCGCATCCCCATCATCAGCAATATCACCATCTGCATCATCAGCAACATTATCCCCAGCAGCAGCAGCAGCATCATGTTCCCAATCAAGGACATCATCATCACTCGCAACAACCGTGGCTCGGTCCAGGAGGCGCAGGAGGTGGCGCCGGCGGCGGTGGGGGCGGCGGAGGTGGAGGAAACTTAGGAAGTTCGTTCGCTCTGCCCTCCTCGGCGGGGATGAGCCCGTCGGCGGCGGCGACGGCGCCGTACTCGGGCGCTGCCGCGAGATACGGCGGTTTCCTCTCGTCCTCGTCCGGCGGCCAGCTCCATTACAACCCCAATTCATCGTCGGGCTCGAGTTCGAGCGCGTCCTCCTCGGCGGCGGCGGCGGCGGGGTTTCCAGAGGTTGGCACGGATACTCCACCCCAGACACCGCCCAATATGAAGGTGGCCACGCCGAACGGAGTGATCCAAGCACCGCCGGGCGGTTACTGTCCTGGTGGCAACGCCGCTAGTGCCGCAACTAATGGCAATCCTAATATTCCCTACGGCGCGAATCATCCCGGTGGCGGTGGTTATCTGTCGACGAGCTCGGGCTCGGCCAGCAGCGCTTCGTCCTTCAATTCTCGACTACAAAGCTCACCTCATAAGGACTTCTCGCCGGTCGGCCAGAATTCCATTCTCCATCAACATCAAACTACTGCCAGCTTGCCACCCACGGAAGCTACCACCGCATTTAAACCATTCTATAAAGGGTGAGTGGAAGATACAGTCCGACGTCATTTAATTCTCTCATTTAATATTAACGCGTTGTTAAATCACGATTAAAACATATGAATCTTTATTCAGTGCACGCAATTTAAAAAAATCTCGTTAAAAATTATAAGAAAGGATTAAGAAGAATACATATTTTATTTCAGTTCGCAATCGATGGGTAGTGGCTTCGTCTCGCCGGTTTAAGAGCCAGTGCTGAGGTCCAGAAAACGATAGTCGTCTTTCCTAAAGTAAGTAACAATATTATATTATTCTTTCTCTTATGTACGTCCATCCTCTTTTCACAATATTTCGCTCCTCGTCCTACAATTGCAAACGACACGCGTATATACTATACATATACATCGAAAAATTTCCGCTACAGAAAAATCGACTTAAAATTCTTCGTCGGTCTGTAGTATACGGTCACGTTAATATCACGTCGAGCGATGTTCGTAATTTACTTTCGACTGTAAAAAAAAAGAAGAAGCGTCGATGAGATGGGTAGCGGGGGACGGGCGGGAGGTGGGCAGAAAAGGTAAGTTGTCCGAAGCAACGGTACATGACCGGCTTATCGGCACGAAAATCGATACAACGATTCTCGCTTGCGCGAACGGCGCGAAAGGCGCGCCGGTCGAACTGGTGTTGCGCCAAACTCGCGCACGGCCGAGACACTACGGGAACAATCGATAAGAAATTAATATCCGGCGTGTCGATTGGTCGTTAAGCCGAGCGACCCGAGTTGAAATAATAATGGTATCGGACACACATTGAGTAGCGTGTGGGTAGTCCACGGTGGTAGAGGCAACCACTGAGAGGCGAAAGAGAGAGAGAGAAAGACAGATAGAGAAATAGGGAGAAAGAGGCTATCGCCACCTCCTTGACAGTGACAAATGGACGGAGATTTCAATCAGTGAATGGAATCACCACTGGCTAACCGCGTCTTTCTCTTACCACACCAGTTGGCCGTAAGTTTTTAACGTGTGTACGCGCGCGTGTGTCTGCATGTGTTTACCGTGCGCGCCCGCGTGTGTTGGAACACCACACTTGGACACACCTCAACCTGTCGCGTTGGTGACCGAACGGACGACTCCGGTCCAGTCTCGCGTTTGGGTCTCACGAGCGAGATCTCCTTACTAGCGGACTTAACCCTAAGATGGATACCACAAGGCGTCGTAAGAGGAGCCAACATTAGCCGTAGTAGTGTCGTCGTAAATTTTCCGTAAATTACGTGTGTCGCGTCAAATAAACGATTCACGTATAAATTTATCGCGCGTATAAATTGTATACAAATCATTGCGTCGTTCAAAAGGTTTCTGGATAAAAAGCTGCGTTGCTCCTCGGATGTTCTATCAAATTTCAATTCGAGTCGTGCGTCGTGTAAACGATCGTAGGACGAATGCGTTAGCGCACGACTTGTGTGCGAGACGATAAGTCGGGAAAGAGATAGAAAAGCGGTTGTCCGCGATAGGCGGCAAGCGATCGTTAAAGCGTCTTGGGGGAAGCCGGAGCCTTCGTCTTCTCATTCGCGGCATTCGTAGATAAAATGTGGGAGAGGGGGAGAGTCGAAACGGCTGTTCTCCCGTTTCCTTACAAACGATACGGGATTCATCTCCAGGGCTTACCCTCGCCTCATTCTCTTTCTCCATTCTTCTCGGCGAATCCTCCCGCGATATCCGTAACGTCGCGGTGCGAGCACGAGTCTTTGAACATTATCTGATTCGACGGAATCGTAAAGGAGCCAAATCGCTCTCCTCGCGAAAATACATTTCTCGATTTCCCTCCCCGCGCCGATTCGAGAGTAGTTCCAGTAAAACGGCCCTTTCTCGAGTCTCTCCGTCGACCTGTACTCGATGGCAACGGGAATCTGCTCGACAGGATCGATATTGCGTGGAAAATGCGCATCAGCCAGATCAGCCTCCAACCATGGATAGCGTATAACCGAGAGATGTAAAGAGAGAATATCTCTTTTTATATTTCAATGTAAAGTATATCTAAATATAACAATATTATTGACACGTCCAGGACCGTTAATTATTTCCGCAGCGAAAGAAAAAAATAAAAGCAAAGTTAAACACGAAGTTTTTAGAACGCTGGGTAAGACGAAATGAACTGCAAAAAAATTATCTCGGTATCATTCATCGCCTCGTTTCGCCACAAGGTGATGAAGACTCGAGAGAATCGCCAGCCAGGGCGACGCTGCCACGTATCGGCTGCGGAGAACGTCTGTCGTTGTTGTCTTTGTAGGATGCCACGACGTGAACGCGAGTAGAAAGGCGGACGGCGAATGGGGAATGAGGGTGGCGGATAAAGGGGGAAGGGGGGAGGTGGTCGTCTTTTCGGATGGAACCGGGTGTTAGCCGGTGCTCTCTTATCTCGCGGCGATCTGATTCTAATTTATAGCCGCGTTCCAAATAAACTAGTTTTCGCTGTCGTCACCTCGCTTCCTCCCTTCCCCCGTCACCATTCACGTGATTTCGTGTGTATGTGTGTGTGTGTGTATATACACCAAACGCGCCTGTGCGTTCGCAGGTCAGACGCGCTTATAATGCTACCCTCTCCTCTTTCGATCCTCTCGGACCAGCGCCCGCTCCAGTCCGGACCATCCTCGATCTCTGCCTCCTCCCTCTTCGCCTTTCCTGTCGCGCACAAACAGACAGGTATACGACGGAGAGACAGAAAGAGAGAGAGAGAGAGAGAGAGAGGGAGAGAGAGAGAGATTGTGTATGTGTGTGTGTGTCGCTTAAGTCGCACGAGGCAGCGCCTTTTGTAGCACCTACCACCATGCCGATCTCCTCCTTCGTTCTCTTTCCGATCGCATCCGAAAAGAGGCGATCGAAGAGAGAGAAGCAGGGAACCACGAAGAGACAACCTCCGTGCAGGAATAAAGTCCTCTCGTGATGCCTGTGCCCTATAATTGCCAATTAGCGCGAGGATGTTTAATCGCCATTAGGACGATGGTAACCGGCCGATCGGGGTTCGGCTGGGCCCTTCCTCCTTGGGTGGACCCGCTTCTAAATATCGTTGCCTTTTAGCTAGCGATATTTACACGATCTCACGGCATCTGCATAAAATTCGCGACCACCGTGCACCCGTGATCCGCCTCGGAGGTGCGAGAGGATAGGCGATCTTTTTAACGGCTTCGAGATTCCGGACGGAGGATTCAGGTGTCTCCTTAATAAATCCTCGAACACGTCGTCGCGGTTTCCCGCGTGTCTCTCTCTCTCTCTCTCTCTCTCTCTCTCTCTTCCTTTCCCTTTCTTTTTCGATAGGTAGGCCTACCGTTGCCGGTGCCGCTTTGAGAAACATGCGCGTTTCTGGAATTCCCGTACGACCTTTGGTGGTTTCATCGGTGGCGACACGCTCGTCGTAGTATACCACGTTCTTCTTTGTCCTCGACCTCCATTTTGCGAGACGCAACACTCGTTTCGAGCGTTTATCGCGCGCGTACGGTTGTCGAGGTTGTGGATCGTGAGATCTTCAGGGCCGATGCGTAGACGGTAGCGAAAAACAGATTTACGTTTCCAGATGCGCGCTAGACCGCTTCGTTGCTACCTGGATAATCGGGGGGAGAGATCGCCGGGAGCAGCACCACGCACCTCCACCCTTTCGACCCTGACGTGGCGAGGCGTCGCTATCATTCACGTGATTTCGTGACTCGACCGCTCAGCCGGCCGACGCGGATGCAAATGTTATTGATTGGGAATAAAAACGCAGACCGCAGTCGCATGGCGCGGCTCCTACGTGCTTCCCTACCCCTTTGAATATAAATCGACACGTTAATTCTAAAACCGGACAGATACAGCGAGAGAGAAAGAGAGAGAGATGAGAGAGATCCTATCTCTCACTTATTAAAAAAAATGACGCTCAACATTGCCGTTCGCTCCGGTACGATGATCGTACTCATATGCGTGTAAAAGATCTGCGAACGAGACGGCTCGTTATCCTTACGCCCTTATGCATTACCGCGTAAACACTCCGTGCTCGTGTAGGAACTCGCAACGAGATTATTAATAAAGTTATAAAATAAACAGACTCTCCCGCTTATCTCGGGCACGTTATAATTAAATCATTATAGAGGCGCATACACGCTGCTGAATTTCCAAGGAAATAATTCGTGTCGATACGCGAGCGGAATGTTAAACTTCTTTTATAAAAAAAAACATGCGTAACGTAAGGCGAACTATCAGCGTGAGTTATTATTAAAATTCCCCGTAACCGGTGCTTTCATTGAATTAATGATTGTTTGATGTTTATAATTTTATGTGCGCCGGGCTGTCTTCTACATTATGCAAGCTATATACCGGCGACCGGCCACACGAGACCAGCGCAATAATTACACGATGGCGCATTGCTATTAGCGGAACGTTCCCGCTGTCCCGCGATATCCGGCAATGCAATGGAGAATTCGAGCAATGAAATTCGCGTTATCGCGCTCGCATGCGCGACGTTCAATTTCGTCGTTCCCTCCTCGGGGGTATCGTTCTAAGCGCGCAATATCGCAGGTGTCGATCGACACGAGATCTCCGCGCTATCTCTCTTTCCCGAGACTACGGTTAAATTACGACGTCACGTTGAACGAATCCTTTCGAAAGTTTTCGTAATCGGCGATCCTAAGTCGCGATTGTATAAATAAATTATAATACCGTCGCTATAATGCAAATGGATGCGCGCGAAAGGAAATTTGCTGTCGTAAGATTTTAATTCGCTGTATCAATGATCGTTCGAACGCGAATTTATCGCGGATACGTAAAGATATTATTTAATGAAAAGCACGACACTGCGCAGTTAATTTGCCATATGTTTATAAATTACAGATGAATGTCTCGAAATATTTAGCATTCATATGGGTACTATTTAAATACTTAGACGGTTTTATTGTGAAATAAAACGTTTCACAACTTCTGATTCGTTGGAAATAACGAGGAATGAATCAACAGCTTTTCTATAGAGCGTCAATCATCGAGAAATCAATGGATATAAGTAGCTTTGCGTTTGCAAAAAGAAAAGGCATGCACTTTGATCGGAGTATTGGCTTATTTCAAATTAATGACATATGACTGGAATTCGATTGTCTCTCTTTCGCCTGAGATTCAGCTCTTACGATAGAACGATCGTCTTATCTTAATCTCAATTTGACACACCGAGACGAAATAATCTTTTCAGTACGTCATCGATCGCGGATCCTAAATTTCGTATATGCAATCGCGCAATTTTTCTCTCCTCTTCCGTTTTATCAAATTTAAAGCCG